AGTGCTTCTGCCATTCAAAAGTAGACGTCGCAAGGCTACACGCTTACGTCCATCGCATTTCATGGATGGCGATGATGCCAGCATTTATTTTCCCTAGGACATCAACAACCCGGGCACAGGCACCATCCCGATTAAGGGTTCGGATACTCCAAGGGCATACCCTAAAATCATAGTCCTTCCTATGTTTGCCGTTATCGTAATCAAAAGAAGGGGGTATCATCCGAGGCATGTGGTTTTTTTTTCATTGGCCAGGGTTTTAACGTGGCGGGACCCAAACCCAGCGCACGCGGGCCACTCCCAGGTGAATGGCAGTCAAAAGCTTTGCAGTAGTGGGAAATGTTCAAAACAAAAGTCAACAGCGAATATCTCAACTAAACCCTGATGTATTTTTTTTTATTCATAGCTCTACATACCTGTATAGTAAACCAAATAGCCGGACCAGACGTTATTCAAAATAAAAAATGTAAAAAAATAAACTTTTTTCCGTATACTCTGTAATATTCCTCCGCAATTTTGAAAGGTAAAATAACAATTTATAATCATTGCTTTGCAGCGAAATATCTTCTCTTAAATTATAAACATAGGTATGCATAAATATGAGGACGTATTGAACATTTTGAGTATGCAGAGTTTTTATGCTGGTATATTCATTTATGCTAAATAGATTACTTGATTTTGTTTTGTCACACTTAAGAAGTAAACGTCTTGGCTGTTCACCCAACCAGTCTATAATTTTATCAATAATCGCAGATTGGTTCTGTTATACAAAACCTTCGTTGTACGCTTAGAAGACACAAACCTAAAGACAAAGTAATAAACAATTGAACTATAAATTTATTTATAGTTTCCGTTCAATCCATTTTTGCTCATTATCGACTACAGCCAGGTTTTTACCCTCTTTAAATGGAAGTGCTTTGAAGTTAGAGAGAATAACTTGATACAGAACCGGATGATACACATATCCACTTTTTAAATCAATTTGCTAATTATTTTGTTAGCGTTGGGAGTATAATTTGTTATACAGTATATATATATGAAAAACCTTGAAAGTTAGGGGGG